GCCTGTCATGGGGGGGACTGGGGGAGGGATAGCATTAAGAGAAATAACTAATGTAAATAACGAGTTGATGGGTGTGGCAAACCAACATGGCACATGTATACCTATGTATCAAACATGCACGTTGTGCACATGTACCCCAGAACTTAAAGTATAATAATAAAAAGTAAACATACATGGTCAATAGATATGGGATGAGGATTATAAAATAGAAACACTGAAGGGACCATGCAATGCATAGGACATGTTGGCAAAAGTTCCCTCTTAGCAATGGGAAGGTGGACAGAGGGGGAATTTCAGGTGCCAAATTTAAACTGGAGAAAGACAGAACATCTAGAAAGTATAAGAGGACATGGAATGTAGTGTAGAGCTGTGTGCGTGACCAAGTCCAAGGAGTGTTTCTGTCCCTTAGCAATGAACAGACAGGAGCAGTCTGAATCACTTAGCAAGAACCTAAGATACCATCATAATCACTTACCGAGATGTAAGACTATTTTAGAACAAAGTCAAGAAAAAAGTATTCTCTAATAGGTGGAACTAGGAATGATCTCTAATAAGTAACTCTATGGTCAAAGCCAAGGGCTACAGAGACTGACCCCCTACCAGTCTTTTTCAGGAAATGGGGTGGAGCAACCCCCAACCCTCCCTTCTCTGGATACTGGAGGCCTTCCATTAAAATATACCTGGCCTGCTTCTTTCCTAGAAAGGCTGCCTAATTCACTTATTGTTACATTCCTGTGCAAAGTTGCACAGAGATGGGCCTATTCCCTGGTGCTTCATCATAAAAAAATTGCTCACTGAAATAATCACTACATGGTTGGTTGGTGCATGGGAAAACTGTCTGCATTAATTAGTTGGCCTGAGCATCCCAGGACCCCCAGATACAGGAACTAAGTCTACCTGTCCAGTCACATTTATCATCCAATTTCCCAGGGAAATCACATCCAAGAGGATTCAAATAGCTTTCCAAAAGCACTGGGCTATTTCTTGCCCATGTTCTATTTCTCATTTTTGAAATAATGAGTAAAGCAGAAATCAGCAGAATGACTACATGAGGTAATTGAGATTTTAAATGGTTCTGGCTGAGGAGAACTGATCTGCCAGTGTTGATTTCAGGTTCTGACAGAAGGGTGAAGTGATCCCACCTACCCTTCCCCACCGCTCAAATACAATGAAAACAATGGAAGCAAAAACTGTAGGTCAGGAGTTCTTAACCTGGGGCCCATGGACAGAATTCTGTGACCCCATAAACTTGGATGGGAAAATGTTTCTATCTTTATCTTTACTAACTCCCACTGAAATTTAGCATTTCCTTTAAGCATGAACACGGGTGACAAACCATGTTAGTAGACATCAGTTCCTATAACTTTGTCAACAAGAGAAATCAAATGTGTTCTCATCACATTTCAGTTGCTACGGATCTTATGCTTATTACTACTTCACAATTATGGTATCTGACTCACCACTTGATCCAGCTATATAACAAAGCAGCACAAATATTCTATCGTAAGTTTTTGGAAATTATAACTTGTTTCTTGGAATCCTATTTTATGTATTTAAAATGTTTCTGAGAAGGGGTTCACAGGTTTCACCAGGCAGCTGCTGAAGGAGTCCAAGGTACAAAAACAGTTAAGCACCTCTGATGGAAGCATCCACACTAGAAATTAAGAAGGCTGGAACCCAGATTCATAGGACCCTCAGGCACATTTCAAACTTGGACTGCCGGCCTGCCTAGTGTTATTAACATCTCATTCACAAAGCTGTTTTAAGACAGAGCAAGATAATGTAAATGAAAGTGGTTTATTAGCCAAAAGAAAAGCAATGTTAAAGATTTAGTACAAAGACACTCGGCAAGATGGTAATTAAAGGAGATAGAGTACTTCTTCAAGGTCACATAACAGCTCTTATCTAGGAACTAGGTATTTAATAATGCAGCCCAACTGGCCTCTGGAAGAGCACCACTCAAATTGCTGCTCCAGGGTCGGACGCAGTGGCTCACGCCTGTAATTCCAGCACTTTGGGAGGCTGAGGTAGGCAGATCACTTGAGGCCAGGAGTCGGAGACCAGCCTGGCCAACATAGTGAAACCCCGTCTCTACTAAAAATATAAAACTTAGTCAGGTGTGGTAGCACACGCCTGTAGTCCCAGCTACTCGGGAGGCTGAGGCACGAGAATTTGCTTGAACCCTAGCGGAGGTTGCAGTGAGCCGAGATCGCGCCACTGCACTCCAGCCTGGGTGACAGAGTGAAATTCAGTCTCAAAAAAACGCTGCTCCAAGATGTGGTAAGGAGTTTGTGCCACAGGGAAAAATCAGCACACTGCTTCTTTCAATGAGTCTTGCTGTGAAAAACAGGTCAGCTGAAGTGCAGTGCTTAGAAAACAAAGAGCTGGTTGACAAACCACACTTTTGACTGGTCCTGCTCTAGAGTCTTGAACATAGGCCAATGATATGTAACACAAAACCCACACCCCCACAATTCCCCACCCTATCCCAGAAGTCATGGGACCAGAATGAAACTGATGAATCTACTGAGACAGATGGTAGAAATGCAAAGTCTTGCGTCAGCAATAGTTAATGCAAGCAAGGAAGTGACTATGCAGACTGTACAGGAAGTACTAGCACATTTTTATTTCAACATCAGCGCTGCTCCAGCCCATTAAAAACACTGTCAACCCAGCCTTCCTCTAGCCCCACTGGATCATCATGAGTCAAGTCTCTAAAATATTCAATCAATCACACTTCTAAGAGAAAGCAGCATTTCATTTTTAAAATAAATTACTGACATCTGCTGATGTGTTGAATGGAATTTTAAACAGTCATATTTGTCTTGTCTCTAATTAAAAAGCAGCTATAGGATACTACAGTACATTCTAGTTTAAGTTATAAAGGAGACTGTAATACTATATAACACCACAGCCATTAAAGTGAAACAACAATGCTAGATCTTAAAACATTTCTTTAAAAGTCAGCAAAAGCAGAGGGGATTTTCAGTTATCAAAGTTCAGTTTGCATGCTTTTGTTTCAAAACAGTAACAAAGATGTTCAAAACATCCATCATCCTTTCTCCAATACAAAGAAGTGAGTTGGGTCAAAATTCACTATTGTCACCCAAAATGAAAAGAGAGATTTCCATGCCTTTCCTTCCCATTCCACATCCCTTATTCTCTCCTGAATGTATCTCCCATGGCATGGCACAACCTGATCCACTTCATTTCCACCTCTCAGGTCTTTGCAGGACTTGTGTCAACAGATTTTATCAGTGGATCTGCTGCCCCAGCCTCAAGCTAGTCTTCAAGTACAAAGCCATGACCAGTTATTAAAAACACGATATCCAGACAGCGGTACATATACCTGGTTTCTTTTATAAAGTAGAAAAAATCCAATTCTATTGACCCCAAACAGTGTTCTACAGTAATAGTACCATCATTTTGTATCTTACACAGTACAGAGAGCTTTGCAAAGCACTATAGTAGAGTTGGAGGGGATGGGAAAAATGTCTACTAATGCTATTTTTAACCTATGTGCACAAGAAAAATTTAAGTCTATCATTACACCATGACTAACTCCTTTCCTCTTCGTCTTCTTCCATGCCAATCTAATACAAAGAAAAAGTAGGCGGCCAGGCATGGTGGTTCACATCTGTAATCCTAGCACTTTGGGAGTCCGACACAGGTGGATCGCCTGAGGTCAGGAGTTCAAGACCAGCTTGGCCAATATGTCAAAACCCCGTCTCTACTAAAAAATACAAAAATTAGCCAGGTATGGTGGCGGGCGCCTGTAATCCCAGCTACCCGGGAGCCTGAGGCAGGAGAATCGCTTGAACCTGGGAGGCAGAGGTTGCAGTGAGCCGAGATTGTGCCACTGTGCTCCAACTTGGGCAACAGAGCAAGACTCTGTCTCAAAAAAAAAAAAAAAAAAAAGAAAAGAAAAAAAGAAAAAGAAAAAGAAAGAAGGGAAAAGTAGACATTCATTCAAGGAAAAAAAAGTGTGGTTGCTCACGCCTGTATTCCCAGCATTTTGGGAGGCCAAGGTCAGATACCAGGCGTTCAAGACCAGCCTGGCCAACATGGTGAAACCCCATCTCTACTAAAAATACAAAAATTAGCCAGGTGTGATAGTATGTGCCTGTAATCCCAGCTACTTGGGAGGCTGCAGCAGGAGAATCGTTTGAACCTGGGAGGTGGATGTTGTAGTGAGCCGTGATCACACCACTGCACTCTAGCCTGCGTGACAGACCAAGACTCTGTCTCAAAAAAAAAAAAAAAAATTTTTTTTTTTTTTTTTTTTACATACATACTATTGATTCCTACACCTTGGGAAGAAGAATGTTCTTTGTTGACACCAATTCTATCTCAAAATGGACACTGAATATTTTCATCTGTAATCCTTTGCTTATTGCAAATTCACCATAAATGACTCATTCCATTGATACAGTATAAACCTTTTATAAAAACAACAGAATAACCCACTGACATCTAACAATCCAAGTCAGTGTAAAGCTCACTTTTGATGTGGATCGTTACCCACAAACGCAATCAAGCTGTTAGCTACCTGCACTTCTTTAGGAGTTTTTAAGTTGCTCATATTGCCGCAGGCCTCTCCACAAATTCTGTCATACATCGGTGCAGCCAAGAATCTGCTCACCAAGTTTCCTAGCAGCTACCCAAAATGACTTTTATTTCCACATCTAATACACTGGTAAGAGTAGGAACAGAAATAAGCTTTTGACTTTCAACTTTACAGTCAGACAAAATCTCTTGCTAGCCTCAGGTCAATGGTATAATGAAGGACTGGTGAATGTAATAGGTTGTGTATCATTTAGCACAGTGGCGAATGAAGTCATTACTACTGTTCAAAAAAGGCCCCAAGGCCATCCTATTATAAAGAGATAAATGACATGGAGTGATAGAACCAGAAACAGACCAGGAGATACCGTTGATCTATGAGATCACAAGTTAGAAAGAAGGGACTGGGCTGAAATAAAACGACAGAACACGTGAAATGTCTCTTTTGTAATTTTAATTGAAGCAATCCTATTTATTTTTTTAACTCTCTCTTATAAGCACCAAATTTTAATATCTAAGTCAATTTTTGGGGAAAGAAACATCATCAAGATCATCCCTCCAGCAAAACAACGATGTTTACTCCTCCAAATATCCAAATTGAAGATCTACGAAAACAAAAACAAAAACAAAAACAAAAGCCCACAGAGAAATAAAAAGGAACAAGAATCACATTCTAATGGCGGGGGGAGGGGAGGTCAGTGCATTTAGCAGTCTTCGCTGTGCTGTCTAACCATCCTTCAGCTGACTTTCAAAAAAAAATAACACCCTAAGCTCATCAAAATATACATTTGCCATTTGCTTGTTTAAATTAAAAATAATTATTAAAAAAAGGAAAACTTTAAGGAATTCACAATCAATTGCCTGACTCATTTCGATGTCATGTACAGCATATGGAGGTCAGGAAGGCCATTCGCAGCACATGTGATTAGGGGCTATTGATCTTCAAGGTTTAGCTTTCTTCCAAACAGTGTAAAATACCCACCTGGTCAGGGAGTCAAGGAATAAAAGCAGGTAATTCAAGGAAGAAAAGGCATCACTTGTAATTCGTTTGCTGGCCTACAAATTGAAAGACGGATGAAAAGCTTCATGGCTTAGAGCACTGTGGGAATGAGAATGAAGGCCTTTGAATAAGGCCACTCTGCAGCCTGGGGACATCCCCACCACCTGGGATGTCTGAAGGAGGTACTGAGTGGACAACAGAAGGCTAAAGGAACACAAATATTCTCTCAGGTAACACTACCGATCCAAAGTCTCACAAGTTTTAGGGAATTAGTATGAGAAGGAAAGGCAGGAAGAAGGAAAGGAAGGAAGGAGGAAAGGAAGGAGGGAGGGAGGGAAGGAGGGAGGGAGGGAGGGAGGGAAAACTGGGGTAGCAGGAAATGCAAGGAAGGGAGAGAAGGGGGAGGGAAGAGAGGGAAGAAAAAGGAGAGGAAAAAAGGTCAGAGGAGTAAAGGAGAGGGAAGGAAGGAGGGAGAGAGAAGAACTAGCAGGTGGAAGCCTTTGCCTCAAATGTTATCAACTCATTTCTCAAATCTCCAAACATGCAAACACAGGCCTGACAAACATGCTGAGGGGAACCCTAAACGAAGGTGGACAGTTGGGAGGAGATGCTGAAGCTCTGTACAGGCTGTGGAGGGACACGGCCACCCAGCAGGCGGAGTGCCCCCTCCTCACGTGGAGGATCTCGAGGGTTCTCATTGCCTCTTGCTGGCCATCTGGTCTCAGCAGGCAGTCTGCGCTGCCGGGCTCTGCCCCAGCCTGATGGGACCAGGCCTCACTGGAGGTCAGCAGCAGTCGCAGAGCAACCTTGACAGCAAAAAAAAAAAAAAAAAAAAAAAAAAAAAAAAAAAAAAACCTGCCGTCACAGGAACCTGGACTTGGCAACAGCAGATAAGGAAGCTGTTGTCTGCAGACTATAGCCCACAGCTGTGTTGTGGCACAAATTTCCAATGATAATGCTCTCATTTCCTTTTTTCTCCATGTTTTATTTCTCTAGACTAACTTTACTAAGTGGAACAGAGAACACCAACGCTAACTGTGCAGTCCCCAACATCATTCTAGTTCTCGATTTCTACTGCAAATTAGCATCAAGTGTAGAAACTAGTATTAACATCAGGTAATTTTAATGTAAGAGTAGAATGAGTGTCTTTAGACATTTTACCTGCCACAGGTAGGATGGTTATTTTAGACTAGGGCTTCTCAAACTTTTTAGGTGCACATAAATCCCTGGGAAGGCTGGTAGAACAGGTCACTGGGCCCCCACCTCCAGAATTCCTCTGACTGGGCAGCAGGTTGGGGTGGGACTTAAGAATGTCCATGTCTAACTAGTTCTTGAGCGATGCTGCAGGTCTGGCAACACCTTTGAGAATCGATGCTTTACACCAGTAGTGCTTGATCATTAAAAGCACCTGGAAAGCTGTGGCAAGCGCCCGCCAAAACTTTTGAGAATGGGAGTCTAGAATGTTAGATTTTATTTAAAGCTTCTCGGGGGATTCCAATGTGCACCGAAGCTTGAGAACCAGGGCTTTATATACTCTACGGCTAAGCTAATTGTTTATTATTGGGATTTAAATTTTTTAATTGGCATAGGATTTACTTGGGTGCTTTGATCTGGCAAAATAATGTCATGGTCAAAGGATACAATTCCAAATATGAAGGGACACAGACGATCTCCTTTGAAAATTCCACAGGACAATACAGGTGCCCCAGCTGTTCTTCATAGAGCGACAGCGCTTCTGTCAGATTGACACAGTTCCCCTAAATCAAAGAGAGATAAGCAAATGGGATTCTTGAGTCCTTCCAAGGGCCCCACTCATCTGAAGGTCGTTAATAAAGAAGAACATTTCTAGCTTTAGATAAAAGTTCATCTTTAAAAACAAGATAAGGCTTCTGTATTTTCACAAATCACACTGCATTCTATTTATAGACCCATTAGAGCTCGTTATCCTTCTACCTCATTGACCAAGCCATTTCAAATTATTAGAATATGAAATGATAGAAAGCAGTGAAACCGATTTCTTATTAGTGACACAGTCACTGAATTAAAACCATGCAATTTGCAAAGATTCATACAAATAACATATTCAAAGGAAATTTTCTCAATAACGGTCACCATTATGTTATAAACGAAGTATCAAAAAGATAGTGTTCTTGATTTCCACAATGGTTTAAACTACAATTCTCCTAAGAGTCTAAAATGTTGACACAGAACTATATTCACCCCTATTTTTTTTCCTAGAATCTGTGTATAAGAGAACAAAAGTCTATTCAGGATATATATGCTAGGGATATCCCCCAGTTGCACACCTTATCAAAAACTTTCTCTCAACTTCATTATTCTAGCATTTCTCCCTTTCCAGTCACCCCATTTTCAGCATCTCCAGCAGCTAGGGGTAGTCAATGACATATACTGCAAGTTTGCTGGTAGCTGCTGGAAAAGCTTTTGATTCAGAACAAAGAGAGAGCCACCCGCCTCTTCAACTTTCTTCCAAGCTATAACCTAGATGTGATATTTGGAGCTGCAGCAGCCATCTTGTGACCATAAGGAAAAAAAGGTGAAGAGAATTCAAGAGATGCCAGCCAAGGTATAGCAGAGTTGCTGAATGGATACAGTATTTGCCCAACTCTAGAGCAATGCTTCTAACTCCTTAATGTACATATGATATCATAGGGGATCTTGTTAAAATGTAAATTTGGATTAAGTCTGGGGAAGCCTTTATCATCCTTTTAGCACAATTTTCCCCAAATGATTTTCATTATGAATTTAGAAAACAAAACTGGTATTTATATACAGAGATTAAAAGGAAATACCAACTATTTCCTTTTAATCTCTGAAGTTGGTATTCACAAGACAGTAATACTGAATCCAGGTGGCTGATTCCATTTCTTAAGAAAGTTACTCTTCACTGGAAGTGCTGGCTCAGGCCTGTAATCCCAGCACTTTGGGAGGCTGAGGCAGGTGGATCACTTGAGGTCAGGAGTTTGAGGCCAGCCTGGTCAACATGGTGAAACCCTATCTCTACTAAAAATACAAAAACTAGCCAGGCGTAGTGGCATGCACCTGTATTCCCAGCTACTCAGGAGGCTAAGACAGAAGAACCACTTGAACCCAGGAGGTGGAGGTTGCAATGAGCTGAGATTGCGCCATTGCACTCCAGCCCGGGCAACAAGAGCGAAACTCCAATTCAAAAAAAAAGTTACTCTTAATTTGCCTCAAAATAGCTAAGTATAATGCAAGATGAAAATTATTTACAAATAAAGGCAGCCTGTGATGTAAGAACTCCTGAGAATGGCTTTCAAAACCAACCAGCCAGCTAGTCACGGGCAAGAGGTTAGAATTATTCTGAGAGCTGGCCTTGGTGGTTTTAACTTAGCACATTCACTCAACATGACGTCATCCTTCAGTGCCAGACTGTTTAGTAACCCATCATCTAGGGTCCCGCAGTGGGATATGGCCATGGTCAAAGTGCCCTTTGCCAGCATGTAATTTGGTTTCAACATCAAGTTCACCATGAGAGCATATAAACACCACACGTGTAATTTAAGATTCACAAATAGAAAACTGCCCAGTTGTTTTTAGAACCCATCGCCACTGGGGAAGCTATAGAATGAAAATGCCACCAAGGTGCACAGTAAATGGCTTTGCCATGTTAAAATTGACACCACACTCTCTCTTTATAGAGGTTATATGGGAAGACTTCCTTACATAGACTGTGGTAAGAAAATAGGAAAGTTTCAATTTGTTCTTTCCCAACATTGTCAAGAAGTTTCAAAAAAAGAAGAAAACGCACACCACAAATAGAGACCTACCCAAAAAAGTAACATGATACATTTCACTTTCCTGTCTATTTAAATGGAATGACATTTTTTCTTTTTAAGAGAAACAAATGGGAGATGAATAAAAATCTAATAGCAAAGAATTAAGCACCCATTAAGGATAAGAAAAAGGGATGGAACAAGGGGTGGGGCCACACCTGGCATTATCGAAGAAAAAGGGGCTCACTGCCCAATGTTCTAGAAGTCAGTATTAGGACACTGGGGTTTTAAGAAAAGCAAAGCTTATTTTAATTTCTTTTCAGAGACAGGGTCTTGCTGTGTTGCTCAGGCTGAAGTACAGTGCTGTGATCACAGCTCAGTGCAGCCTCAAACTCCTGGCCTCAAGCAATCCTCCCACCTTAGCCTCCCCAAATGCTGGGATTACAGGCATGAGCCACCGAGCCTGGCCTAAGAAAAGCTTTTTATTGTAAGTCAACTAACAAGGAGACAGGAGTCCAGCTTAAATACGTTTCCCTGTGCTGGGCTTAAAGGCAGTCCTTTTATTAGAAAAGGTTTAAGGGGCTGGCTGCAGTGGCTCACACCTGTAATCCTAACACTTTGGAGGCCGAGGCAGGCGGATCACTTCAGGTCAGGAGTTCGAGAGCAGTCTGGCCAACATGGTGAAATCCCATCTCTTCTAAAAATACAAAAATTAGCCAGGTGTGGTGGCACACACCTGCAATCCCAGCTACTTGGGAGGCTGAGGCAGGAGAGGTGCTTGAACCCGGGAGGCAAAGGTTGCAGTGAGCAGGGATCGAGCCACTGTACTCCAGCCCGGGCCACAGAGTGAGACTCCATCTCCATCTCCATCTCCATCTCCAAAAAAAAAAATTTAAGGGGTAGGTTCTGAGATTTGCAGGTGATTGATTTGTGGATGGAAAGGGTAGATCTGGAAAATCCTCGGGCACGTATGGTTATCTCTTTCTGCCCACTAATGGGTCTTGTGTGCAATCTTGAGGGCGGGGAAGTGGTTCGTATGAAGCAAGTGGTGAAAACTTAGGCTGTGACATCAGCAAGCTTGTTCTGTGCAAATTCTAATGGGGCATATTGGTTTTAACAGATTTTAGCCAGTGATTTTCTTTCTTAAGTGTGGGGAGTTTCAGTGTTTCAGCAAGTTGTTTCTTTTTTTACCTGCAATCCTGCAAACTCAGATTTTATTAGTCATTGGTTTATTTAACCCTTTGAGGCTTCACTAGGGGATTAAATCCAAATTCTATAGCTTCAGTTCTAGAAAGTTCTTTTCCCCATGTTAAGTGTGGACAGGTGACATTTGCTTTTGTTTATTTTAGAGGTGGGGTCTTCACTATGTTGCCCAGGCTGTCCTCGAACTCCTGGGCTCAAGCGATCCTCCTGAGTAGTTAGGATTACAGGCACATGACACCTCAGTAACAGGTATAGAAGAATACATCCTTAGCAACTTTTATCAAGTTCAAAAGCAAATAAAATTACATAGTATAATGATTTAGGAAATCATACATGTAAGAACCATCTAGAAGATACAGAAACGGAAAAAAGTGAGACCAAGGATGGGTTGCTTCTAGAAGGCAAGCAGGAACGAGAGAGAAATATAACTTACAGGTTTTTTTTTAAATGGGGCTGGAGGGAGAGAAGAGAGGAAGGTCAAGTCCCAGGATCTGCCTCCTAGGTTCCATGAAAACACTTCCTCCCCAATTCAAATTCTATTGGCCCACCTTGATTCCCACGCCTCTCCACGATGCATTCCCCAGCTTCCTGGGATGCTGACAAGGCTGCGTTCAGGCAGCCACAGTAATACCAATGACATCACAAACTCACCACTGTGATGCTAGCAGTTTTAGGTGGGAACATTTAGCTTCTGTAAAACAACACATTTTCATCCCACCCTTAACCTGACTCCAGTTCTAAGCTGCACACTTGGGCAAAGTGGGTGGGCATGCCAGGAATCTGGGTTACCTCCTAAGTATGTCACCTGGCAGTTAAAAAAAAAAACAAAACTGCCCCGTGGCAACTACATCAATACATCCTGAGTCGAATCACTTGCTTTTTGACTTAATTACTACTTCTTAAAAGGGCTATACATGCCTGTCCACATAAATCTTACCATGTGACACTGTCAACCACCAAATGTACTGAATGAACCCCAGGTGTTATATAATGAGATTGTTTTGTGGTTCTAACTGTAATGAACATGGGGACAGAAAACACGTCGTATGTCTTTCGGACAATTCTTAGAAACCAAGACAGCCCTGGGCATACAATCCTTTTGATTTTGGTAAAAAGTCTATTGGCAAAGGCAAGATATCAAAGCCTGGGTCATTAATATTTACAAATGGGTTGTGGTAGTACACTAAGCAAGCATTCTATTAGCCTTTCATACTAAGATAACGGCTCTCCATAGGAGGTGGCCTGCCATGCCAATATTCAGAACAAAAGAACAATAGTCACACGGTTGTAGTAGACAACAGGTGGAGTTAGTGTGGCTGTCTCTTTTGTCCTGTCTTTTGTACTACAGACTGGCTAGTTTGTAGTGGATCCAAATTTTTTTCAGCCTCTTTTTGTTCAAGATCCCAGAGCCTCACATTTTTCCTTGATTTAAGCTGCTTGAGATTTTCTTCTATGTGTTTGCAGAAACCTAAAAGAAAAAATTCTGGCTGGGCACGGTCACTAATGGCTGTAATCTCAACAATTCAGGAGGCTGACGTAGGAGGATTACTCGAATCTAGGAGTTTAAGGCCAACCTGGGCAACATAGTGAGACCTCATCTCTACAAAAATTAGCCAGGCCTGGCAATGGATGCCTGTAATCCCAGCACTTTGGGAGGGGCAAAGCAAGACGATCACTTCAGCCTGGGAGGTTGAGGCTGCAATGAGCGCCACTGTGCCACTGCACTCCGGCCTAGGCTACATACCAAGAACCTAGCTCAAAAAAATGAAAAGAAAAAGATTCCATATGCTCTGCTTAAAAAATGCCCATCATGGCTGGGTGCAGTGGCTCACGCCTGTAATCCCAGCACTTTGGGAGGCCAAGGGGAACGGATCACCTGAGGTTGGGAGTTTGAGACCAGCCTGACCAACATGGAGAAACCCCATCTCTACTAAAAATACAAAAAAATCAGCTGGGCATGGTGGCACATGCCTATAATCCCAGCTACTCAGGAGGCTGAGGCAGGAGAATCGCTTGAACCCAGGAAGTGGAGGTTGCAGTGAGCTGAGATCACGCCACTGCACTCCAGCCTGGGCGACAGCAAGACTCCGTCTCAAAAAAAAAAAGAAAAAAAAACCATCATAAGAAAGTCCAACTTGCTTCTTTACAATAAGAAAGCTTCATTTGAGCAGGTTTCACTGCAGGTTTCCTATAAGACAGGGGTCAGCAAACTTCCTCTGTAAAGGGTCAGACAGAAACTATTTTAGGCTCTGCAGATCATACAGTATCTACCACAACTACTCAGTTCAAAAGCAGCCACAGACACTATGTAATAAATGGGCGTGTCTGTGTGCCAAGAAAACTTTACAAACAAGCAAGCAGGAGGCCAGATTTGGCCCAATGTTTGCAGACTCCTGGCTTTGAATAGTTATATCCATCTACAACATGTTTGTAAAAATCGTTTCTAAACCTTGGGGTGGTGGGGGAGAGACACTCCATTAACAGATAGGGCTTTGCTCTGCTCAAAGTTTCCCAACATTTTCACCAAGCGCAAAGTCTAAGATTAAGCACAATGTGCCTGCAGGTCTTGCACGCAGAGGGAAGAGCGGAACAACAGGATAGGCTGGAGCCTGAATCAAGATGTCTCTTAGAATTGCTAAGTTGTTTTCAGCATTATTAATCTCAGATTCCATAAAATGTCCAGGATAGGGTCTGCTTGCAAACATCTCCTCAGGAGAATCAAGTTAAAACCTCTACCTGTTCCTGACTTTTTTTTTTTTTTTTTGGAGACGGAGTCTTGCTCTGTGGCCCAGGCTGGAGCCCAGTGGTGCAATCTCGGCTCATTGCAACCTCCGCCTCCCAGGTTCAAGCAATGTCCTGCCTCAGGCTCCTGAGTAGCTGAGATTACAGGCTCCTGCTACCATGCCTGGCTCATTTTTGTATTTTTAGTAGAGACGGGGTTTCACCATGTTGGCCAGGCTGGTCTCGAACTCCTTGACCTCAGGTAATCTAACTGCCTCGGCCTCCCAAAGTGCTGGGATTACAGGCGTAAGCCACCACACCTGGCCTGTTCCTGACATTTAAATACAGTAAACTAATACTGTGTTTATTTTTGAGTCAAGGTCTCACTCTGTCACCCAGGCTGGAGGGCAGTGGCACGATCATAGCTCACTATAGCTTCAACCTCCCAGGCTCAAACAATCCTCCCACCTCGGCCTCCAGAGTTAGGACTACAGGCATGCACCACCATGCCCAGCTAATCTTTTAAATGTTTTGTAGAGATGGAGTCTTACTATGTTGCCCAGGCTGGCAGTACTTTTTTTTTTTTTTGAGACGGAGTCTCGCTGTGTCGCCCAGGCTGGAGTGCAGTGGCCGGATCTCAGCTCGCTGCAAGCTCTGCCTCCCGGGTTTTTACGCCATTCTCCTGCCTCAGCCTCCCGAGTAGCCGGGACTACAGGCGCCCGCTACCTCGCCCGGCTAGTTTTTTTTTGTATTTTTTAGTAGAGACGGGGTTTCACCGTGTTAGCCAGGATGGTCTCGAACTCCTGACCTCGTGATCCGCCCGTCTCGGCCTCCCAAAGTGCTGGGATTACAGGCTTGAGCCACCGCGCCCGGCCAGGCTGGCAGTACTTTAAAAAATGGAGGAGGGGATTTTCCTGTGAACTCAGAATAATTCAGAGATCCAGAGTACGATGCTATGTAAGTGTTTATGTTTATGAATCAAGGAATTTTGTACCAAGAGACTAGATTATCAATTAGCTGTCTTTGCTGTGATTTTCAAAATTTTGTTAAGGATTTCAATAGAAGATATATATGTATATTTTTAACACCAAAAAATGAAATCTTTAAAGTTTTAGAATCCCCTAGAGAATGAGAAAAACACCACAATCTGCTTCCATCTGGTGGCAGGAGTTCACAGTACAGCCAGAGCTACTTCATCAAGTGTATGTTGATGAGGGGAGGGGGAAAAAAAGAAAATCAGTCTGTGTCTCCATCAGGTGGCAGCAGCTCATACTACAGCGAAAGACCAGGGCTGATAACTCATTAATTCCCAGCAGAGGACAGGTCCACTTAGAAGCTTACTGTTTGAAACAACATAAACCAATGATGCTGCTCTATCCTTAATAAATTTCAAAAACGTGCATTCAGATTTCAAAATATAAAAATCTTAAGAGTGTTTTGAGGAAAAAAACTGTTAAGTAGCCTACCTGTGTAAAATATTTCCCATCCTGTTTCAACACTTTCATTGAGAGGTCAAGAATCAGTCTGAGAAACTCCCATGTGGAATCTGAAGGTTTAAAAGAACAAGTTTCATAAATATGGGTTTGTACGTATCCACAACATCTGAAGTAAAATATTCAAATACTCAATACCAAAAGGGGAAGAAGAAAAAGAGCCACAAGTGTGAGACCCACTCACTATTCAAAGAGCTTGTTCATGAACGATAATGAAATTGATTTTGGATGCCAAAATCACATCTACCTAGCACTGCTCTCAAAATACCAATAGATTCGACACAAAGGCAGTGGCCGAAACGTGAAAGAAAACTGCTTTAAATAAGGGGGCAAGCAGCAAAATCCTGAGAGAAATTCAGAGTCTGCAAACTCAGCAGGAACTTGAGTTTATAGAAAAAACATGAACTAGCTGTGATTTTGAACAAACATATGGTTTGAGAAAGGGAATTATCTGTTGTTAGATAAGTGACCAATTTGTACCAATACAGGTTGAAAATCACATAAATTAAATACATTATCAAATGATTTACCGTCTCAATAATGTAATGAGTCATTTTATTTCATTTTTGTTTCAAATGACTGAATGAGTTCACTCATTTAGTGGCAGACCAGGAATTGAAGCCAAATCCAGTCATCTTTCCACCATGGACCTCAATTTAACTCCCTAAAACTGTGAGAGAACTAGACAATCTCTAAGATCCTTTCACCCTCACACGGTGCCCAGAGAAACATTTCCATCATAAGTATCCTGGTTTAAAAAAAAAATCTACCTTCTTCTGGAGACGTGGAGATTGGAACAGCAGTCAAATCATTAATCACATAATCAAATTCTCTCCCTTCTTTGGCGTACCTCTTCAGTACCGGAATACAGTCTTCTATTAGAACCTTCCAGAAAGAACAGGACTAGATGAGTAAGCCAACATGTGGATGTAGTTAAACAAAAAACAATAGTAAAGGAAGGAGGAAAAAAATACCAAGTGGGGGCTTATATCCACAGCTATCCACAGCATCTGCTACAGGAACCAAAAAACTTTCATCTATGTCTATTAATAGCAAAAATTAAGTGCTTACCATATATGCTTTATATGCCTTCTCATTTCAATAAAGCAACAATACTAGAGGCACTATTATCCATTTTACCAATGTAGAAACAAACTTGAGGTGTTATCCAGCTTGCCCACAGATCCACGAAGTATACCTATTACTATCTGAAAGCCAACTACATACTTTCATCTCTGATCTATACTGCCTCTCCTACCACTATTTGTATCATCTTCTTTTGATTTTTCTTATTTTTTAAAATTAATAAACTATTTTTAAAAAGTTTTTCTAGAGACAGGGTCTCACTATGTTGCCCAGGTTGGTCTTGAACTCCTGGGCTCAAGCAATCTGCCCACCTTAGACTCTCATAGTGCTGGGATTAGAGGCATGAGTCACCGTACCCAGCCTAATTTTTCTTTTATACTAAGCACTGAATGACTTCATTGTTTATGGATTTATTTTTGCATGTTACTCAAACTATAAACATGTTGTTCCTCAATTTTCTCTAATGCTTGGCTACTGCTAATAAAGCTATATATAACAGCTCCCACCATCAGAGTCAATCAAGAGTCCAGCTGGAATTCCCATACAGATCATACATAGTTAATACAGGAAAGAAGTTTGAGGTCAGCTGTATATTTGAAGTACTGAGGCTCTATGCTGGGGACACATCTGGATCTAAACAACATCCTAAACTAAACAGGAGTTACGGTCATCTTTTAGTTTTCTAATTAAAAAAAAAATACATTAAGTAAAAGAAAAATTACATATAATAGTCAGAAATCAAGAGTTTAAGACTTTGCCAGGCCAGGAGCAGTGGCCCAACACCTGTAATCCCAGTACTTTGGGAAGTTGAGGTGGGCGGAACACTGGAGACCAGGAGTTCTAGAGCAGCCTGGGCGACATGGTAAAAGCCTGTCTCTAGAAAAAATAGAAAAACCAGCTGGGCCTAGTGGTATGTGCCTGTAGTCCCAGCTACTCAGGAAGCTGAGGTGGGAGGATCGCTTGAGCCTGGGAGTTCGAGGGTATAGTGAGCCATGATCATGACACCACTGCGCTCCAGCGCTCCAGCCTGAGTGACAGAGCGAGACCTTGTCTCAAAAAAAAAACCAAAAAAAGTTCACCACAATTCCCTAAAATAACCTAGCCCATGTTGTTTCTCATCATTCTTCTTATAGCCTCACAGTTGTAAGAAACTGGGACTTTTCTGTCCTATTGTTTTATAACTTGTCTCACTTAATGCATCATACCTGTGGAGGTACTAACACCACAGTTGCCTTCAATTCACTATGAATCCTGTTTGATATGCTCATAATTTTTCCATACGTTCACAGAGATTCTTACAAATACTTGCACACAAATACAAATATATGTGCTCTTTTGTAAAATTTGGATCACGCACATCATTCGGAACTTGAACATTTTCACCGAACATCTCTCCAGGTAATAACACACATTTTTAAAAATACGCCATTCCACTAAAAACGTTCTTTCTGTTGTCATCGCCAAGCCTTGGCCACTACAAGCACATCTATAATAAAACCTTGTAGTGACACCTTTTTAACTGTGAGCTGGGTGCTCAAACACAGGGTAGAAGCCATGTGTTTCGGTTTTGATAGCATTTCACATGTCAAACAGCAATGCATATGAGCACCTGTCTCCTCCTCGCATCCTCCTCAGCGTGGAATATTGCTCCTCTACTAAATTTTGTGAAGTCTGTTGCTAATGTTTTCACAAGAACTTCCTGGGCCACCAACAGGGGTGACCGTCTTGTGGTACTTTTTTTTTTTTTTTTTTTTTTGAGATGGAGTCTTGCTTTGTCGCCCAGGCTGGAGTGCAGTGGCGCAATCTTGGCTCACTGCAAGCTCCACCTCCCGGGTTCACGCCTTTCTCCTGCCTCAGCCTCCTGAGTAACTGAGACTACAGGTGCCCACCACCACGCCCGGCTAATTTTTTCTATTTTTTCGTATAGCCGGGGTTTCACTGTGTTAGCCAGGATGGTCTCGATCTCCTGACCTTGTGATCTGCCCACCTCAGCCTCCCAAAGTGCTGGGATTACAGGCATGAGCCAATGCGCCCGGCCTGTCTTGTGGTACTTTTTACAGGTTATTTGACTTATTCTGAGAAGTACCAGTAAATATACCCTTTATACTTTTTTAAAGTTAGTTAACTTCATTTTGAAGCTGTAGGGACTCTGCATTATTCAAGGGATCAATTCCCTGTCACGCTTGTTACCAGTCTTTCTTCTAGTCTGAACTTTTGGCTTGGTAAGGACAACATAATACCATTAACAGTTTGAGTGTCCTATCTTTAAGAGATTTCCCAACTCCAAGGTTAAGTACTCTAAATTGTCTTAAATGTATTAGTTTTTACATTTAGAGCCTAAGTCACCAAAATTCCTATTTCTATGGTTGGCTAACTTGGTTCTCATGCAGATGGTTAACTCATTATACCGGCATCGCACATTAACTCAACCAAACCTTTTCCCAAGTCGACTGAAATGCATCTTAGACCATATTAGCAGTGTGTAGGAACACATACGCAGACCTGTTCAAGTTCCTTTGACACTCCTAGGTATTGTGTATTCCTTTCATACTTCCTATTTGATTACTGTGCCTTGTAGTACATTAACAACGAATAGGACATATTTCGCTTCGCACTGTGATTCTTTTTTCGAGTTTTCTTGGGTATTCTTAGATATTTGTTTTTACAAATAAACTTTAAAATCAGTTGGTCTACTTTTAAACCCCTCCCCTCTCCTTGGGATTACACATAATAAATTGGGAAGAAATAGACATTGTTCTGTGTTGTTGTTTTTTTTCTTTTTGACAGAGTCTTGCTCTGTCACCCAGGCTGGAGTGCAGTGGTGCAATCTCGGCTCACTGCAACCTCCACCTCCCGAGTTCAAGCCACTCTCCTGCCTCAGCCTCCAGAGTAGCTGGATTACAAGCACCCACCACCACGTCTGGCTAATTTTTGTATTTTTAGTAGAGATGGGATTTCACCATGTTGACCAGGCTGTTCTCCAACTCCTGACTTCAAGTGATCTGCCCACCTCAGCCTCCCAAAGTGCTGGGATTACAGGTGAGCCACCAAGCCCGGCCTGTTCTGTTATTTCAATACAAGAAATACAGCATGCCTCTCTACATATTCAGACTTTGATGTCTTTCAATAAGATCTTAATATAATTCATACCAGTCTCACAATACCATTCTTGTTAAATATATATTCCTAGGAATTTAACACTTGATTACTTTGAAAGGAAATGGATGGGAAGGAAATCCTATTTAAATGATTTAGCATTTAGTATAGAGAAAAAAATCTAGGCTGGCTTTATCCAATCACTTTACCAAATTCTCATGAATTCAAATAATTTTCTATGTAAGTTTCCTGGCTTTTCTAGTATTCATATCATCTGCAAATAATTAGATTTATACTGTTTTCATCTTTCTACTTTACTATCTCAGCTGCCTCAAAAAACAATGTGAAAAAGATAATTGGCATCCTCATCTTCTTCCTATTTTCAGTGGAAATGGCTTCTGCTATCTATTATATTTATTATATTTTCTATTTTTCTATTTACTATAACCTAATTTCTACTAATGTTTAGGTAGTTTCATCTCTATTGCAATTTTATTTTATTCAAGTAATTTATACTTTAACTTTTATTTTAGATTCAGGGAGTACATGTACAGATTTGTTATATATATATTATATATATATAATATATATATTATATATATATAAAATATATAATATATATTATATATATAAATATATAAAATAAATATATATATATATAAATATATATATATATATATATTTTTTTTTTAGAGACAGAGTCTCCCTCTGTTGAACAGGCTGGAGTGCAGTGGTGCAATCTCGGCTCACTGCAACCTCCACCTTCCGGGTTCAAGCAATTCTCCTGCCTCAGCCTCCAATGTAGCTGGAATTACAGGCACACGCCACCACACCTGGCTAATTTTACATAAGTATACTGCATTAGTTTTTATTAAAAATGACTGCTAAATATTCTCAAATTCTTTGTCATCTGTTATTTTCCTCCTTTACTCACATAATGAATTAAGTTGACAGATTTCTTAAAATTCAAATCTTTACACTTCTAACTAAATCCTACTTGAGCATAATATAGACTTCTTTAAGATGACAGATTTAGCTTATTATTTTACTTGGAAATTTTGCACATATGTAAAAGCAATCTTTAGTTTTGTGTACTACTTGATTTTACTATTAAGGTTTTCTTTTTTTATTATTATTATTAAGGTTTTTTTAATTAAAATTTTCTTTTCTTTTCGAGACATTCTCGCTCTGCGGCCCAGGCTGGAGTTACAATGGCGATCATTAAAAAGTCAGGAAACAACGGATGCTGGAGAGGATGTGGAGAAATAGGAATGCTTTTACACTGTTGGTGGGAGTGTAAATTAGTTCAACCATTGTGGAAGACAGTGTGGCAATTCCTCAAGGATCTAGAACCAGAAATACCATTTGACCTAGCAATCTCATTACTGGGTATATATCCAAAGGATTATAAATCATTCTACTATAAAGGCACATGCACACGTAGGTTTACTGCGGCACCATTCATAAAAGCAAAGACTTGGAACCAACTCAAATGCCCATCAAGGATAGGCTAGATAAAGAAAATGTGGCACACATACACCATGGAATACTATCCAGCCATAAAAAAGGACGAGTTCATGTCCTTTGCAGGGACATGGATGAAGCTGGAAACCATAATTCTCGGCAAACTAACACAGGAACAGAAAACCAAACACCGCATGTTCTCACTTGTAAGTGTGAGATGAACAATGAGAACACATGGACACAGTGAGGGGAACATCACACATTGGGGCCGGTCGGGGGATAGGGGCTTAGGGGAGGGATAGCATTAGGAGAAATGCCTAATGCTTGCAGGGCTTAAAACCTAGATGATGAGTTGACAGGCGCAGCGAACCACCATGCCACGTGTATACCTATGTAACAAACCTGCATGTTCTGCACAGGTACCCTAGAAGTATTAAAAAAACAAACAAACAAAAAAAACCCCACAAAAAACAGAATTCATTTTATTCCATTCAGAGAATCTGGAGTTGGTGCATTCCCATCATTGGTACATGTGTACCCTAAATACAAATATACATATAACTCACATGAAGAGACAGATGACGTATTTATCTTCTCAACCAATTATACTAAAAGCTGTTTTAATAAGGCACGATTCTGATCAATAACTTAAATCAATTATATTATCAGTTGACTTAAAACTATATTATCCAGAAAACATAATTACCTGATAGCAGTCTCCTTTAAGATTGTCTAAGACATCGCCACACGTTTTTCGCATGTATTTCTTACACCCATCGATCACCATTTGGTCAATGTCCGAAACAGGTTAAGGAGAATTTGGGTATATCAAAGAATTCTTAAATAGTAATACTTTAAAGAAAGGGTTAAGACAAAGATTTTATAATGCTAACTTGGGTATCACAAATTTGACAAAATGATGAATGAGGCAGTGAGTGACTTTATATTCCCACCAAGGACATGCAAAAGGAACTGAATCTTCTTTTCTCCTCATGAGATAGCTTTAGGGAAGTCATTTTGGAAACTGCCGGGCAGCAGACACAGTATCAAAGTCATTTGCTCTTTAATCCTCAACTAGGTAGATTATTTGTTTGTTTTTGAAACGGAGTCTCACTCTGTCGCCCAGGCTAGAGTGAAGTGGCGCGATCTTGGCTTACTGCAACCTCTGCCACCTCAGGTTCAAGCAATTCTCCTGTCTCAGCCTCCCAAGTAGCTGGGATTACAGGTGCCCGCCACCATGCCTGGCTAATTTTTGTATTTTTAGTAGAGACGGGGTTTCGCCATGTTGATTAGGCTGGTCTTGAACTCCTGACCTCAGGTGATGCACCTGCCACGGCCTCCCAAAGTGCTTGGATTACAGGCATGAGCCACTGTGCCCAGCCGATTATTTCTTTGTTGATGGCCACGTAAAAGGGTACTGTTACTAACTTGTCTGTTCAAAGCAGTCTGGGTATGGGTAACACATTTGCCTCTAGTCTGTGGTAACATTAATTTGAGTTGTGAGACACCAAAGGAAGGAAGGAAACAAAAGAAGCCCACTGAACTTGTTCTCTCATACAACAAAGGATATCTCTACCATAGTGACCATCTTTGGTTTTAGTTTGACTATTTCATACAATATGCCTCCATCTCCACCTCCCAGAATGAGTACATCTTTGCCAGTGTAATCTTCTTTGCCACTGCCCATGATGGCCCGGGTATACGCCAAATCACTCTCTGCCAAATCTAGGGAGGAGAAACAAATCCAAATGGTGAGTCTACCTTCACACACAAACCACCTGGCCCCGCCACACTGAAGTGCTGGGATCTAGCCCAAAATGTAAATTTTTCATTTTCAATTTTTTAAAACTGTCAACAATATGCAAGCTTTTTTTTTCCATTGAGGACTTTTTCATCAACCCTGATCATCTGACACCTTATACAAATGGACATTAGTCAGTGGAAAGAAAATCCAGCCTTAAAAATGTGTCAATATACCAAATAATTAAAAGCAGTTACATCTTAACAAATGAAATAATATGATGTCTGTGAGCTGCTTCAAAATAATATGAGAGGGACAAAGTAGACTGGGGTTTAGGCAAAATAAGACTGGCTAGGAGTTGATAATTATTCACACTCAACGGTGAGTACATGCGGGTTCATCACACTAATTTGTCTACTTAGGTTTCAACTGTTCTGTAACAAAAAGTTTTTTTTTTTTTTGTAATACGCAAATGCATTTTCTTTTGAAACACAATCTAAATATTCATCACTAAGGAGGCAATGTCAAGACGAAGTTTATGTGAAAGCCCAGACAATCCACAGGTTAATATGACATAAATGTGCATCTCAAACACCAGCAGTGTCAGAAACAAACTCAAACAAATCCACAACAGCAATAACTGTCAGGAAAACACCATCATCTAACATATCACCACTTTGTTATGTGATCGGGGCAGGGATGGAATACTTACTAACATCCCCACTAAGGATGAGAATATTTCCAAACTGCTTCGAGTGTAGAATTTTTATATTTTGATAAGGTGAATCTTCGTCATATACCACTTCATCTATGTCATATTCAACCAGACGCCCATCAGCGGTTGGCCAATATCTGTCAATGGCTCCTCCTCGCACTATGGGTGGTAATCTGGAAAAAGAGAAAAACAGCAATGTACCTTACTAGAACACTGCCTTACAAGTGGACCTGGGATGAAGAGTATGCAAAAGAAAGCCACATGACTGCCGACTTCTGACAAGCACAAAACAAATCCAAAGCTTGGGCTTTTAGTTTTATATAATCACGGCCACCACCAAATGTTGACCACTATTGTACACAGTCCACTTTTTAAAAAATCCTGTCATGCTGTAGATTTTCTCTAACAAAAAGCTGAAGAAGATGGCCACTGCACACTTCATACTTCAAATGCTCCAGCAGTATCCGTCTCTTAAGACTATCTACATAACTACATTGACATTACCACATTCACACCAGTTCACATGGGTATCAATCATATGGTTATCTAGTACAGAGTCCATCTTCAAGTGTCCCCAATTATGCCAGTTATGTCCTTTATAGATGTTCTGCTCTTGAATAAAGGTTCATACACTGCATGTCCCTATTATTTTTTTCTTTTTTATACTCATGTAACGTAGAATTTTTTTTTTTTTACTGGTATGTTTCATGACATTGAGATCTCAAAGTACAGACCAGCTATTCTGCCGAAAAATGACTCATATGGGTTTACCTGATAATCTCTCACTCTTCATGGTTAGAATCAGGTTGACATATATTAATTACACAGGCATCACATTGGGAACACAAGATGTGTATTTGTCCCATTATTGGTGATGCTAAGTCTGTGATCACTTGGTTAAAGTGGTATTCATGAGATCTCTCCATCTGCAAAGGTACCTTTTCACCCTTTGAAATTACTAAGCAGGCTGTGGGGTGGTCCTCTGAAACTAGGTGAAAGTCCTCACCCCCAACAAACCTTTACCAGTGGTTTTAGCATGTAGAAGATTCTGGCCTGAACCAGTTACTACTAGAGAGGCTGCAACATGACTTTTTCATTCATTCTTTTGTAAATACCCGGTATTTTTCACAGGATGAATGTACTAGAAAGTACCAGCAGAGGACACTAAATGACAGGAAAAAACAGACCTGGAAAAGGGGCTTGGCAAGTCAAACACAAAGAAAAGGAGAGCTCACTGCATACATAACACAACCGCGTGAGTCATGTGTTCTCAAACACAGTAGTGTTCGATATTAAAACGCCATGATGCACAGTTGTAGATATCTAAAATGCTGGGATATGCGGCCTGACTTACTCCTATGAGTCTCTTTCCCTTCCCTGCTCACCAGATTCCAAGAGTACAGTCTAAACCTGTTACAAGTTAATGAGGCTTTCTATGAGGGAATACTAACATCTATAAAGAACACTGAGATTGAAAAGGCAAACTCCCATAAATTCATGTAATCCTGACAACTCTTGATTTAACCACTTCTTTACCAAACTCCATGTGAACAAATTCAGCTTTGAGAATGTGAGGCGTTCTAGAGGGTTTTTCCTGTAAATTGGAAAATGTGAAGCACCAATCAGGACAACCGCTAGAGAGCAGGCAAACAGGACTTGGAGGAAGCCTCTTCTACCCCTGGCTGATGGTGGGGAGTGAGATGAGAGTGAGCCACCCATGGCACTGGAAGAAGGACAAAGTCACTCACTTCCAGGGGAGGAAGACTACCCTCTCCTTGACAGCCAGCCAGCTATGGGAAATTGCTGCACTAGAGACAAACCCACTGAAAATAAAGTGTCTGTTCTCAATTGTGTCAATAGTGCCTTGGCTAAGGTGAAGAGCTCTTTTCTAGATTGTAACACTATGGTTTTTAAAGACTGGTAAAGAAAAAAGCATCTTAACAGGATATAAATGACGTTACCCTGATGAAGTGCTCAACCTAGCATTAAAGGGCATCTCCCTGGTAGCCCTATAACGGGCTACCAGGAGGTACTATGGAGTCCCCTATCAAACTCGTTTCAAACTTCACTGCTGAAAAATGAAACTGGACTATACCAATTCAGGCAGATTACAGCCCAGGCCTCAGGTATACTGTGTAAATTGCAAGAACCTTTTAAAATCAAAGTTAATTTATGTGACCTTGTTTTCTTGTTCCTTTTCACTTGAAAGCAGAAAACAAAAATAAATTCAAGTACATCCCATAGCTTCTTAGTCAAAAATTCAGATTTAACTTAACAAAGGGGAATCATTTCAGATGTTACGGGTTATTTGTTAATGATTTCATCTCTAACATTTAACCTCTGATCTTTATTCTCCACATTAAAAAAAAAAAAAGTATAGCAATCCTTGTCCTTTTGAGGCCAGTAACAAAGGGCTTACAACAAAATATTCCCAATTTCCAGCTCTCATCAACCTTATTTCATGAAAATAAAAACTGTGACAAGCATAGGCAAGGTATTTTGAAGATCTAAAGCTTAACTCCACTCTTAGAAAACTCTTATACCAAAAAAACAGAAAAGATCCAGACTTCTCACGAATGCTGAAGCCCATAAATGTATTCTGTTTACCCACTCATAGAGGTAACTGATAAAAATCAGACCACATTTTGATGTGGACCAATTCATTATCATCGAGTTAAGACCCTTTCTGACAGTGGGGAACCTGTTCATTGCAAATGGGTGTAGATAAGGAAAACCCTGCAAACAGGAAAAGATGAGATGTCCAAAAAGTGATATGGGCATGTGGGTGTGGATGTGCTTTTAAAGGAAGATGAAGGGTGAGAGACATGGCTAGGGACCTTAAACTGAGCTTGGGTGCTCTAAAAGAACCTGAGTGCTCTAACAGATCTCAAAAAAGTAGACAGTTCTATACTGTGGCCTCTTCTTTTCACTTTCAGTTTCCTGCTTTCCTCTTTAACTACAGGAGATTAAACAATTACCTAGTTATCTTACATCTGCTCTAGAGCTTTCTTATGGGCTGATCAAACTCAGCATGGTGAGTAATTAAGTACTTAAACATCCTAACGCTTGCCAATAAGGATTCCTTCTTCTGGAAAGTGCCATGAACTGGAGAAACCTATATACCCCTTGCTCAGCAATGAGGAAGTCCCTCGCTTATCTCTGCAACTATGAGGTTAATTTTATGAGCAAGGGACAGGACTTCTATGCCTTAAGGCCTGGTGAGGATCCACCAAGGCAGGGCAAGAGTAAATTGTCCTGCATTTACATGCTGTCTATCCAAAGCACTACTTAATTCCCTCCAGTTCCTTCCCACAGAAGTCAAAACTGCATTCTTTTAAAATCTGACACCACTGGCAAACACTTCAGCAGTGTCCGACAGAAATTTAGATGATGAAAATGTTCCGTAGTTGTACTGTCCCACATGGCAGACACTAACCACTAGCTATTGTGACTAAGGAACTGAATTGTGTATTTTAACTAACTTTAAATAGCCATGTGGGGCTAGTGCCCATTCCACTTGATAGGGAGAGCTTCATTTTCCTTGAAAATGATCACTTGAAAATAACCTGCCTATGGCAGCTTAAGGTTGGCGGCCTATCAATTCTTAGTATCTTGGAAAGTTTTCTTCTTTGAAAGCCTTGAGGCAAATTTTCTTATCACCCCACCTGGTCAGAGTCTCTTAAAATTGCTTAACTTTACTCTGGGGCCCTGAAGGAGAAAAAGTGACCTTTTCTCTTTCCGGGAAGGGTCCAAGTCAGGTTTTTTTTTTTGAGATGGAATTTCACTCTGTTGCCCAGGTTGGAGTGCAGTGGTGCAATCTCAGCTCACTGCAACCTCCACTTCCCGGGTTCAAGCGATTCTCCTGCCTCAGGCTCCTGAGAAGCTAGGATTACAGGCGTGCACCACCAAGCCTGGCTAATTTTTGTATTTTTAGAAGAGACAGGGTTTCGCCCATGTTGGTCAGGCTGGTCTCGAACTGAAGTCAGGTGTTTTCTAGCACCCTTTGATGAGGTGGCAGCTCTACCTGGGTCTCCACTTTATGCAGTTCCAACTCCTTGGAGTTGGTCCCTATCTCCTTTCTGCCTTAGTTTCATTTTACCTAGCATTTTTGTGTGTGCATCCATGCACATGTATGTTCATACACTATCTTGTTTTGGTGTGAGGGGCCCAGCAGTTTGGTTCACCATGTTGCCAGAAGAAGGTGCTGAGTTTGATGTTTTCCATATCTCAAGCAGACACTACTGGGGACAACACCGCCATTCTAATTTTTTTTTTCTTTTTTTTTGAGACAGTCTCATTGTGTCACCCAGGCCGGAGTGCAGTGGTGCGATCTCGGCTCACTGCAACCTCTGCTTCCTGGGTTCAAGCTATTTGCATGCACCAGTCTTTCAAGTAGCTAGAATTACAGGCATGCACCACCACACCCAGCTAATTTTTGTATTTTTAGTAGAGACGGTGTTTTGTCATGTTGGCCAGGCTGGTCTCAAACTCCTGACTTAAAGTGATCTGCCTGCCTCGGCCTCCGAAATTGCTGGGATTACAGGTGTGAGCTACTGCGCCCAGCCAACTATCATTGTTTCAATCGATTAAATATAAAAGGACATTCAAGAGTGGACTTACCGTTTCACCCGCCCAGTACTGTCCTGACTCAATTCTTTCATTCTCTCTTCTACTTTGTTCAAAATCTACAATTAAAAGAAAAATCAATGGGCTTGCAGAATAAGCTGCGTGGAACAGCTAAATTACAGACCCAACAACTGAGGCCGTGTTGACAGAGCTGTGCAAGATTGACCTGTCCCTCCTCCTGCCCTCTAGCAGCCTGTAGGCCTGGCCCAATTCCACTCTCCCATCCCAACTATCCCTTCATGTTGCTGACCTAACCTTAGTGTAAGTTAGCAACAAAATAACATGGAAGAGGAAGGCCAAAGGGTACTGCAGCTATAAAATCCTGGTTAAAGGTTTTCTATTCCCTCCAGTGGAAAATAAGATTACTCACACTCAGGCAGTTAAAAGGGAACGCTGACACCCAAGTTCCTAAAAACAACTAAACAACTACTTCTAGTCTAAAACCACTTATGTGGAGGGAGGAAAGTTTAAAATTAACTGGAAAGCAAGCAATGAAGAGAAAATTATTTTAACACTAAGCTAAGCAGATACTATGATCCTTAAACACCGAATAAATGAAAGTGAAAAACCGACACTGTCGATCTCTTCTTTGCCTTGCGCATCACCATCATAACTCTGAAGGTCCAGCAACACCAATCCATGTGGGTAAATTCTCAAATTGGCAAAGCTACAAAGGAAAATATAATTTTAATCTTAAGAATTGTATCAGGGCATTCAAAAAAAAAAAAAAAAAAAAACAGAGAGAGAGAAAGAAACAGAGATGTCACCCAATTAAAAGACCACTGCTCTTTATTTCCCTAAAACTATACAGTTAACCATTTTGCTTTCTTACTAGGGCTGCGTCTTGCGGGGAGAAACTACCAATCATTTGTGGACGGTTTAGAGGGCATTACCAAAAGTTAAGGTTTTCAAAACTGGTTCTTGGGCCCAGAAAGTGATTCAGTAGCAGTTCTGTGAATCTAATTTTTAAAAAGGTTCTCTAGGTAATTTTGCCAGGTTTAGTAACCACTGCCTTAATATGAAGGGAGTGTGGAGAAGGGTATACTGGTTTCTCCCAATTAAACTTTAGAGTTCAAACCAGAGTCATTTTTTCCTAACTGCAGGCTGGTGGTAGGTAAATTAATTTAAGTAAGCACTCTGGAAAATCCAGGCCAAGTGCCTGCAAACCTAATCCATCCCACAGTATGTTTTTGTAAAGCCTGCAGGCTAAGTAAGAATGGTTTACATTTTCAAAGAGTTTTTTTAAAAATGTGACAGCAACCTTTACAGAAAATTTTCTGACCAGTCCTTTTTATTTTTTAATGAAATAAACATATTTGAGTGTATCACATGCACTAAGATGTACTCGATAAAACTTTTGTTTCAGTTACACGCTTTTTTTTTTTTTTTTTTTGAGATGGAGTCTCACTCTGTCTTGCCCTGGCTGGAGGGCAGTGACATGATCTCGGCTCACTGCAGCCTCCACCTCCTGGGTTCAAGCAATTCTTCTGTCTCAGCCTCCCAAGTAGCTGGGACATCAGGCGTGTCCCACCACACCTGGTTAATTTTGTATTTTCAGTAGAGACGGGGTTTCACCATGTCAGCCAGGCTGGTCTCAAACTCCTGACCTCAGGTGATCCACCCGCCTTGGCCTCTCAGTGTTGGGATTACAGGCGTGAGCCACTGCACCTGGTCTATGCATGCATTTGTTCTGCATTTACACAGATGTGTATTTCCAGGGTTATGATTACCTCCTACTATAAATTATAGGTAAAGAAATGTTTGAAAAATACTAAATTAGAAGATGAATTATGTTCAGAAAATACAGACAGTGTGCTTGGATTAAAAAAAAAAAAAAAAAACTAAAAATAATAAGCTAGGCACGGTGGCACACGCCTGTAGTCCCAGCTACTTGGGAGGATGAGGCAGGAGGATTCCTTATGCCTGGGAGATCGAGGCTGCAGTGAGCCATGATCGCACCACTGCACTCCAGCCTGGGCGACATAGTGAGACCCTGTCTCTATAAAAAATTTAAAATAAAACAAAACTAGTTAATTTTTCACCTTCAGCCCTTAAGTGACCTCAAAAATCAAGTTCTTGCCCACAGTCCACAAACTCTTCTACACCGGAATGAGAGGATCATCTTTCCTTTCCCTCCTTCACTGGCAGCAGAGAGGAGGGGGGAAGGAACAACAGAGAAATAATGTCCCCTTTATCCACTTGGGTGGTTCTAGCATGAACACAGAGAATACTAGAAGGCAGAGTCAAGGATTAAGGTGCTCCTAGGGATAAAACCAGAACTAGAGGGGGAAAAATGTGCCCAGGGTCGGGGGGAAGGGAATAGAGAACCTGAATAAAGGTGGCTCAGCTCCTTTCCCCAAGCCCATGCATGGGTAGGAGAGGTGAGGTTTCAGGACAGGCACCTCGGGGTGGGTACCAGTTGACAAGTGAGAGAGGAAGGAGACCAAGTAGAAAACTCTTAAAAACTAAGCTGGCCAGGCGCGGTGGCTCACGCCTGTAATCCCAACACTTTGAGAGGCCGAGGTAGGTGGATGGCTTGAGCCAGAAGTTCGAGACCAGCCTGGGCAACATGGTGAAACCCCGTCTATTAAAAACACAAACTTACCTGGATGTGGGGGTGAGTGCCTGGAATTCCAGCCACTCGGAAGGCTGAGGTGGGAGAACTGCTTGAACCCAGGAGGCAGAGGCTGCAGTGAGCCAAGATTGCGCTACTGCACTCCAGCCTGGGCAACAGAGCAAGACTTGGTCTCAAAAACAACAACAACAAAACCCTAAGCAGTTCATTTGGGGTTTTTTTTGTTTTTGTTTATTGCTTTTCAAAGCAGTTTCCAAACGGCTCTTGTCACTCAAAAACCCCTTCTGGGAGGAATTCCAAGTCTTCTGTACAACCGGAATTGGTGGCTATGGCAGAAACTTCAATAATTGTGACAGAGAGGTAGGCAGGGCCCAGCTGCAAAGGCCTTTAGGAGATAAAGTGCAACTTTTCACCTGGTGCTGGCTGAGGAGCCTGCCACCGGAGGCCGTGGATGATGAGTTCCGATTTGCTGTGGTCCCCAAAAGATGGACCACAGTAAAAACAGTGAGAGGCGGCAGGTACAGGGAGGGGCTGAGTGTAATCCTGCAGGAGCCAGAGGGCTCTAGGACAGCTACAGCCTCTGCTTCCAAGAGACCATCTGGGTCAGAGCAGGGAAGGAAAGGACACAGGGGAGAGGAGGGTTTGGTGGTAGCGTTCATATAAGGAAGAAATCATCATCTTAGATACATTTGCGGTATCTACTAAACACACAGGGAGGTTTGCTGCACAGTTAGAAATACAAGTCTGGGCTTGGGGAAGAAGAGGTTCGGATGTCTTTGAGAGGTATCAGGATAGAGACCACCAATTAATGCCACAGGAGTGGGCCATGGAGACTTACAGAGAGAATAATGGAAGGGGCAGTGAGCTCAAAAAGTACAGGTTTCCCTCATCTCTAGGTCTCTGGAATATAATGGAGGTGGCTACTTTTTCCTTTAATAGAGAAACAAAGGGAGAGAAAGGAGGACATTAAGGAAGCCACGTGGAATTCCAGTACTGGGTATCCATTGAGGTAACAGAATAAAAGTCATCGAAAATACCCCATCCTGGAGTTCACATTTTTATTTATTTTAATGTTTATTTCCATAGGTTATTGGGGAATGGGTGGTGTTTAGTTACATGAGTAAATTCTTTAGTACTGATTTGTGAGATTTTGGTGCACTCATCGCCCAAGCAGTATACCCCGCACCCTATTACATTTCTAAATTGATAGTGCAAATTACTAAGAATCTTAATTAGTAGTTTTACATACTAAGCCAGTCCAGATACAATACAAACCAAGATTTAAGGAAATACCAAGAGCTCAACGCACTGGTTTCTTGTTATCAGTCATTTCTTAGTTTAGATTTTCTTCTGCATTTCACCATGGTCTGCAGTAGCTGATAATCAGTCATAACAGTGCTACTCAAAGTGTGGTCAGCTGTCCAGCAGCATCAGCATCCCCCGGGAGCTTCCTGAAAACTGAATCTGGGCCCGGTTGCAGACCCGCTTATTGCATCAAGAACTCTTGCGGTAGGGGCCCAGGGGATCATTGCCTGCCATTTCAAACTGCTTATGCCGCCAGGGGTTCTTGGTCCTGGCCACATAGAACCACTGGGGCTTTGGAGAAATCCAGATGTCCAGGCCCTGTGACCTCAATTTCTGGGGGAAATGCCCAGGCACGAGTGTTTCGTGAAAGCTCTCCAGAAACAGGGACCTGGGCTCCCCCCACCCCAATAACACACTTATTTCCAGAAATACCAGGCTCTAGGAGCCAGGAAGATGGCAAAGCGCTGCTTGAGGCTCTGTGCAGGCTGCCCCTGGGGCCCTGCAGCACTGCTGCTGGCCAGCCTAGAGCAGGTACCCTCAGCCTGCACCCACCATACTCTGACCTGAGCAAGAGTGTCTGCAGCTCAGCATCCTGCAGCGAGAAGGCCCCGGCATGCCCACTACGGGCCTCTGCTGCAAACTAGTGGGTCCTCACAGGTGGTGGGCACCCCAACCAACCCATCCATCCGGACCCCAGCCCCTCTGATATCATCCTTGCTGACCAAGAGACCGGGAAACACTAAGATAAGCAGCATCCTATGGTAAATCTTACTCCAGGGACTTAAGAGGCTGAGTTTCACCGTAAACTTTTTACTCCAGGGAGTTGACCTACCACTTGCATGAGCCCAATGAGCGATCCTGCCCCTGTCGTACTATTACGCTAAAGTCCCCGCCAAGAGCGGGCTCACCAGCCACTTCAGGGTGCATACATTAAGCAGGAGGTCTCACTGCATCTGCACACCACTAACTAGGTGCGTACCTGTAATTACACTCATCTATCTCATGAACTGTTCACATCACTCCCTTCAAAACATCACCTTGGGGGAGTCAGCCACAAAACTTTTCCTGGGCTGCCTCCCTTATGCTCACTCTGGGAATAAGTCTTAACAAAAAACTTGTCTGGGAAACATGTTTGGCCTCCTGTCAATCTCTATATACATGAGAGCTTAAGAACCTGTGGTCAGTAACGCTACCAGGAGATTCTGATGTGCAGAATCTTGAGAGGCACCAAGTTCCAGCCCCATCCTAAAAGATGTCAAAGGAGAAAAACAAAAGCCAGGTGCCACCCCCATCCTCCACTCTGTCACCCACTCTGCTCATAAGTGACCAGATATGAAGAACAGCACCGGAGACTGCTCACCTGCCGTTCTTGTTTGTGTAGGTTGCTAAATAGCCATGGTCCTGCCAGGTGTGCACCGACTCCGCCATTCCTTGCTCCTGGAAAATGGACTGGAGGCCTTTTAGAATGGTCTCACCATCAGCTGGAGAACAAAGGGAAGAAGGCAAGATGGTCAGAAAGAAACATTCAGAAGGAAGGCCAATGAGGCACAGTTTGAGGACTGACCTTTAAAAAAAAAAAAAACCTGAACAAAGTTGTCAGTGTCACTTATCCCTTGTCATGACATGAGTGATAAACATTCTCCACCCTGCAAGGAAAGGCGACACAGACCACCAGATTACGTGATGGTAAGAACACAAAAGCCGACCACAAATAGCTGTGCCAAGGATGTAGACATATTCAGCCTAGAGACAGCACAACAAAATATTCACTCTAAGCAGAAATTAAAGACATGCAAATAAATGCAAGAACAACAAATGAGATTCCACTTCAGGTTAAATAAATTAATGAGGACACATGGTACTAGAAAGGTGATACCTGTCCACTGCTGATGAGTAATATAAATGACAAGCTTTTTTCCCCATGTTTTACAAAAACGATGTGCTGCTTTTATAACTGGAAAAAAATATCCAACAGTAATCCTCAGTAACATAGCTCTCAATGGTACAAACTGGACAACGATTCCATATGGGACAACCTGCTGGCTTGTCGGTCTCCCTACCCCACCCCCATGGTCGCAGAAGCCAATCTTCCTGTCTCCCATCCTGCCCACAGTCCTACTCCCAAAAGTGCAATCAGTGTTCCCACATAAAGTACATTAACCTCTGCAGGTTCACTTGAAGCCAGGATCTTCAAGAACATCCAACATTACAATACTTAGAATAAGGGGTAAATGCAATTTGTTCTCTAGTTCTATCTACAAAGCAGGCATTCCCTAATAAATGTAAAACAAAGAACCAAGATATGACAAGAGGAATTACTCTTTACTTTCCCACCAGCCCTCTGAAGGCTGGCTCCTGTGAGGGGAAAAACAGCCTGGTAAATATCAAAACGAAGCATCTCTGTGACCTGAACAGAGGTAAAAGAAAAAAATAGAGTCACAGCTGACTGCAGTGTGATTTGCCAAGAAAATTACATTAGAATTTCCACCATAAACTAAGTAGTGCTGAAACTAGAACTGGGATGTTAAGGATTTTTTCACTATGCATAGTCTATCTCTAGTGACTCAGAACTGTGTTCCCAAGGCCACTGAATGAAGGCTACAAACGGGGAGTTCGGAGGCCAAAATGGACAGATATGTCTTACTCTGGCTTGCACAGACTTTTTTTTATTTTTTGAGACCGGATCTCCCTCTGTCACCCAGGCTGAAGTGCATTGGTGTAATCTCAGCTCACTATAACCTCTGCTTCCTGGGCTTAAGTGATCCTCTTGCTTCAGCCTCCCAAGTAGCTGGGACTACAGGTGCCTGTCACCTCGCCCAGCTGATTTTTTTTATTTTTAGTAGAGAAAGGGTTTCACCATGTTAGCCAGGATGGTCTCAATCTCCTGACCTCATGATCTGCCCGCCTCAGGTCCCCAAAGTGCTAGGATTACAGGCATAAGCCACCGCGCCCAGCCCATGCCCAACTAAATTTGTACATTTTTGGTAGCAATGGGGTTCCACCATGTTGCCCAGGCTGGTCTCAAACTCCTGAGCTCAAGCAATCCACCCGCCTCAGCCTCCCAAAGTGTTGGGATTACAGGCATGGGCCACTGCACCCAGTCCCTGAACAGACTAAAGTGTAAATTAGTTGCCATTTAAAAATCAGAAGATTTCACTCTCTCCCACTGTAGTGGGTATAACGGTGGCCCCAAAAAGATATATCCGCATCTTAATCTCCAGAACCTGGGGGTGTGACTTTCTTTGGAAAAGGGTCTGTGTAGATGTAATTAAGTTAAGGATCTTGAGATGAAAGCATCTGGATTATCCAGGTACCCAGACCCTAAACCCAATGACAAGTGCCCTTATAAGAGACAGAAGAAAAGATACAGGGAGAAAAGGGGGCAGGTGACATAAGACGGAGGCAGAGGTTGGAGTGATTAAGAGCCATACGCCAAGCCCAGGACAGCTACAAGCGCACCAGAAGCTGAAGAGGCAAGGATGGATTCTCCCCTAGAGCCTTCTGGGGAAGCAAGGGCCTGTCACGTTTTGATCTGAAACTTCTGGCCTCCAGAATTGTGAGAGAATACATCTCTGCCATTGTAAGCTACCCAGTTTGTAGTACTTTGTTACAGCAGCCCTAGGAAGCTAATACACCTGCCCAAAATTCGTTTTCAACTTTAACAACAGCAAACAGAATACTAAAAGTGGCAGTGAAAACATAATTTAATATTCAGAATTGCCAAACAGAGCAGTTGATAGCCCAGCCAAAACTCATGGACAACATCTGGAACAAAACTAGATGACAGAGTGTAACCCTAAATTCCCAAATGGGTATAGGTAGAAATAAATGGGCCACAACCCTGAGACCCGTGGGGTATCAGCAATTGAGAGAGGAAGAAGAGAAAAAGCAAAGGGACTTCAGACAGCCCTAAGAACTAAAGGAACCCCTTCCAAAAGTCACCAACAGGTGTTCACCCCCAAAGAAGCGGTTTCCTCCCCCTCAGAATGCAGGGGTCTGGCTAGCCAAAGCGAGGATGCAGCTGAAACTTGCGAGGACTTGGGTAGGGATGGATGTCAGGGTGGTCAAGCCCTACAGATGGCCAAAATCAAAGAATCTCCAAGAAAAAGTCCCACATCAGGGAGAGACTACCAGTGCAGAATCCACGTCACACTTCCACAGCAGCACAAGCCTCTGTAAACACCGAGCAGTGGTGGCCCAATGAATCCTTAAGCTCTCATTTGTTCCTAGCAAAACTGTGCCTCTGGGAAAGTCATTTGGCAGAAAATAATCTAGCTTGCTTTGCTATTCTGAAATTGGTTTCAGGAAATTAAAAGCCAAGGTCTGAATTATATCCCCAGAACTGTAGCATTTAAGACTGAATTCTAAAATAAGACTGCTTCACTAAAATAAATCTTCATTTAAGACTGCTTCACTAAAATAAATCTGATTTCAAACTTGGTAAGATAAACTAACCTTGTTCAGTTTGCGTTTGTCACTGAAGTGTGGTGGGCCAGCCCACTGTGGAGGTGGCCTGAGTGTACTGAGCCAGGCAGAACTTTCCCTGAATCTGAAGAGCCATTCTAAAATTAAGCAATCCCTCCTTGGCTAGAACAGATGTTTTCTGTTTTGAAAGCATATAAAACAAATAATCACTCCTGGGAAATGGCCTCAAGATGGTTCTGTTGGCACATTACAAAACAGAACCCAAACCCCCATGCTGGTGAACGAACAATCTAGACAAAGCCACCCTGCGTGTAATTGACCAGGTTGTGCAGTGAACGAGGACCCTGGCCTGGGTGGCTGAGCTGGGATGAACCTCATCCCTTAGGCCAAGGAAAGGGGGGTCTTTGTCTGATCTATGCAAAGGATTTGACTGCTGGCCAAGCCCAGTGTAGTGGCCATCCCCTTTTTCTAACTGGCACAATTAACAAAAAGGCACCGTGTGGACTAAAGAAAGTCCTCCGGCCAGGTTTCAAACTGAAGGAAAAACTACACAAGAAATCTGATTTGAAGCATTACTTGTTCCCACACTATAGGCTTACCCGCCAAGTTCAGTAAAAACAGGCCAAAACTGAACGTGTTTCTGGAAGCTCATTTACCCACAAGCCCTGTTCATTTGTGCGGCCGCCGGGTCCCCATGGGCATCTGAGTATGCTAGCCCTGCCAGGAAGGTGTCTGCAGGGCTTTATGGGGACACCATCATTTTGCCCACCATTCACCTCCCCTTCCTCCTGATTGGGGCCTCCCCTGTCACCCAGCCCTTGGGGAAGACACTCCAGGGAGGGGAGCTAGAGGTGAAAACTCCGCAGTAGTATCTCTTTCCAAATCAGGGCTTTTTAAGGCAAAATAAAGCAAAAGCATGAGGTGGCTCACTTAGTCATCTTGATCCCAGGTGCTCAATAAATGTTTTGTGGGCAAATAAAAAATTATTTTATTTGGCTGAATTCATCATCCTTTATTACTATATCTTTGCAGAGGTTCAAGAACATCTAGACCAGTGGTTTACAATCCTAGCTGTGCATTAGAATTCACCCAGGGAGGCCAGGCATGGTGTTTCACGCCTGTAATCCCAACACTTTAGGAGGTCAACGCAGGAGGATCACTTGGGCCCAGGAATTCGAGACCAGCCTGGGCAACGTGGTAAAATCTGTCTCTAACAAAAATACAAAAACTAGCCGGACATAGAGGCACGTCCCTATAGTCCCAGCTACCCAGGAGGCTGCGATGGGAGGAACACCTTAGCCTGGGAGGTGAAGGCTGCAGTGACCCATGATTGCGCCACCTCACTTCAGCCTGGGCAACAGTGAGATCCTATTTCAAAAAGTAAATAATAATCACCTTGGGAGTTTTGAAAAAGTCCAATGCCACACATTAGGCCAATTAAGTAGAAATGTGGGGGTGGGACCCAGGCATCCGTATTTTCAACAGCTCCCTGGGAAATTCCAATGTCCAGCCACAGTTGAGAACCACTAATCTAAATCACCCAACACAAAAAAAGGAAAAGAAACCCCCTACCATTTCCAGACCACTTATACTCATTAAGCCACCAAAAAGTTATAGAAAATGCTCAACAGAAGGGCTGAGAAAAGTTAGAACTCTTTACTAACTGAAGCCAAGGGTAACCTGGCACATGCCCCAGAACATGCTTTGGAATTATTCCAAATTTCAACCTTTATGCCTGTCTAGCATGGAACTTGTAAAATAACCAAACAAATCAGACTTGCTCTATCAGGGTTCCTTGCTATCAGGGGCAAGGTTAACAATGTGGTAAGAAAGGCTGCCCCGTCTTTGTCTTTCACAGGACTTTGGTAACCCGTCATACCCAGTAAACGTCAGGAATGCCTTTGCTTGTCAATAAAAGACCCCCCACCCCAACTGCCCCAAGGGCAGGAGAGGGGCAATACAATCACTTGAGAACTACTACATGCTCTATACTCAGGTGAAAACGAGCCTGAGGTCAGAATATATCCAAACTTGAGAACACAGGACAGCAAGGTCG